CACCAGACTGCATATCAGAATAATCAGAATCCATGAGTACAACTGCCTCTTATCTCATGTCTTGTTGACATTTATCCAGAATTAGTTGTCCACTTTGCATATTCAATAAATAAATTAGGATGAATTGTTTAAAATTTCCTATGGATAGGGTTCACGTATTCTTGACATCCATGAGTGATTCACTCATTTGAACGACTTATTTGACATTTATTTAAAAATGAGAGTTTAAAAAAAACAGGCATTTAATTCTGGAGTCTGGACAGATGGAGTATGGTATTGAAGAATCCGAGACTACATAAAAGCAAATTGGGCATGCAATTCTTCTAGTTTGTCCAGTATAATACTCCATATATGGAAGCAGTAAGTATCATATACAGATTACTAGGGATTCATGTCATACAAATCGGTCAGTCCCCTGGAAAACTAACATTATGTTTGGTTCAAGGAATTTGGAAGGAAAAGAAAAGGAAATAGTTTTCTCACATTTCCCCTCACCGAAACGGGAGGAATTTGGGTTTCCTTCCTTTTAGCATATTTTGCCTTTCTCATTTTCTTTTCCTTTCCATATCAAATTTGTTGAACCAAACATAGTGTAAAGAAACGCAGAAGGAAAAGAGTCAATGCCCAATAGAGTATATACTTATCAAACAAAAGGAATGCTAGAAATTCTTTAAGCAAGAACATCTTAAAGTTTCAGAGAGTGAAACAAAGAACCATAAGACATAATGGGCATTGAATCTAACTTCATTATGGAGTACAAACTAGCACGATTATTTACAGAAGAAGAAGAAGTCAAAGAAAGGACCTTTTCATCCTTGGCAAGAGCATCAATAAGCTTGTTGTATGAGAAAATATCCAGTGTGTATCCGCGCATTCTCATTTCTTGATACACATTCAGAGCCTTACTCGAGTCACTCAGTCTCAGGTACGCCTGGAGAAGACACTTGTAAGTATAGCAAGTCAACCTCAAGTCCCATTTCTTAATCAGCTCCAACCACCGCTTCAGCTCGCTGCCATCTTCACCATTGCTGCTCCCAATTACTCCCACGAGAAGATTGACTGTGGAAATGTTACCACGGGTTCGAGACCTCTCCATTTGCCCTACAATTTCGTGGATTTGATCGAGGCGGGTCGGGAGAGATGACTTAGAAAGGATGAGGATGATTCGGTTGTATGTGAAGGCGTCGTGCCGGAAATTAGGGATTTTGGCGGGGCAAAATCGGAAGAACCGGAGAGCTAGGGTTGGGGATTTGAGAGACTTGAGAACTTCTGAGGCTTCCGATGGAGTTAAATTCAGATGCAATGAATCGAGATAGTCGGAGAGGTCGAGGAATTGATCCGACGAAGGAGAAGGCGGCGCCTGGAGAATCTGAGAGACCTTGCAAATGAGGTCTCGGCGGGGAAGAACATAGCCACGAGTGTCAGTTTGGAGGGACGGGGAATCGACTTCGATGGCGAATGAGCGGCCGTTGTCTGCTTCCGCCACCACCCTGCCGCTGTATTTGGTGGCAAATCCACGGTGCTGATAGCGGCTGATAATCCTGAAAGTCAGCCGTTGGCGACGGCGGCTGATTCGGCCGACTACCATGATTTTTCGTCAAGCCCGCTTAGCCGGGGTCTGGCCGTGCAAAGACTGCAGTGTCCATTGAAAGACAAGGGGATATCGAAGGTGAGAAATGAGGACGACGGCCATACACCTATGTCAGTTATCTTCCCATTTAATATTCAGCCTAATAAAATAGGGAGTAATTAGATTTTAATATCAATATTTATATAAATTTACTATATATTTTATAAAAAGTTTATATTTTAAAAATACGTTCCAAAAAGAATTATTGATATCATATTTATACGTTCCAAAAAGAATTATTGATATTGCATTTATATCAGAATACAATACACGTTTTCTTAAAAATTGAAGTCAAAGTTTATAAACTTTGAACAAGAAAAATTAAATGAGAAGATGAAATCTACACAGAGGATTATTTTTCAAAAATGATATGACTATTATATTGATAGGTATATTACATACCCTGGTGTACTCTTCGGTACCCAGGCTATTTCGTATAACCAACTGTCTAGCGACCAACCGGTGGTGTACCTCTTCGGAATCAGGCCGGACGTGACCGGTCATAGTTTTCGTCGGAATGAGCTTGGCGGATTTTTTGTTACCAATGTTCAGTGATTGGTCAAATCTATGATATGGTGACCAGTCATAGTTTCCATCTTGCAGAACGAACGTTGAAACAATATTTCAGGAGTGGTGTTGGGTGACCGGTCAACCCTGGGGTTGGGTGAACGGTCACGGTTCTGGTCTTTCAGAATGAGCATCGCAACTATTTTCAGGGATGGTACCGACTGACCGATCATCATGTTTTTGGGGCTTTGCCGTAAATCCTAAGAAAAAATTCATATGTTGTAGGCAATTTGACTGGTCATATTTTTCGAATATGACCGGGGGATTACGATTGAGGAGTGCTGCTTGACGAATTTCATCCCTTTCACTTGATTCTTCACTTGAGTCACTCGAGTCATCACTAGACTGCTTGGATTCCTTAAACACATTTGTTAATTTGGGATCTTCTCTCAAGTATTCTTCTCACATCTTAATAATCAAAAGCTCATGAGAATACAAAGAGGACCAAATGTGGGCGGTGCTTCCTGTTGCACATTTTGATAATAAATCTACAATGCTATTTTGCCACTCTTTTGACAAAGAAAGTAAAACTTTGTACTTAATTCACTTATAGAATATTCTTTATCCAACTTATCTAACTTGTTGACCACATCATTGTATCGTTTGTTTCCATCTTGGATTGACTCGTGTTGGCCAAGTTTGAAGCTTTCATATTTCGATTTTTCTAAGGCCAACATGGTTTGCTTCATTGTGGTGTCGCTTTCATGCGTGGCTTGAAGCAAATCCCATACTTCCTTTCCCGTTTTGCAAGAGCACACACATGTGAACTCATCGGGTCCAAGGGAGCAATGAAAGATGTTCATGGACTTTGCGTTCATTGATAATTTCCTTTTGTCTTCCGATGATAATCCTGCAAAATCACCATTTCTCGGAACAAATGGCCCGTGAAGTATGTTCAACCATAAATCATAATCAATGGATTGTAGACACAACCTTACGGTTTTCAAATAGCTGGTCATTCTGCCAAAGTTTGTAAGCTGCAACGTTCAATCTATGGATTGAAATGAGCATCTCGGAGTTGGTACATACGCTTCGATGAAACCATATCCAGCGTTGGTTTCGAGAAGAACTCTGACAAATCTTGTGTATACAAGAAGGTCAATGAGAGTGTAATAGTATTTCTAATCTTATATGTCGATGACATATTGTTAATGAGTAACGATATTCCCGCTCTCACTTATGTAAAGACATGGTTGAGCGAGAACTTCTCCGTGAAAGACTAAAGGGATGCTAGTTATGTCCTTGGCATAAGAATCTAGCGAGATAGATCAAGAAAGTTAATAGGTCTGAATTAGAGTACATATATAGATAAAGTCCACTACTACAAAAAAGACCAAATAAATCCCTCATTTGGATCGATCAGCAAAACAAACGATTTAAAAGTTAAAAAAATTTCACGTACCACTAATCTTTTGAATCAGTTATTCCTAATAACCGATGCAAAAGAGTATTTCCATCGGTTATTAGGAATAACCAATTCAAAAGGTTAAGTTATAATCAGCCTCCAACTTCTTATCCTTACGTGATTTTTAAAAAAAAGCTCCAAACCCTTCCTTCCCTGACGCCAGCAGCCTTCGCCGACTTCTTCCCTTCACCGCCGACGCCACCTCGCTTCCTTCCCCGACGCCAGCAGCCTTCACCGACTCCTTCCTTCGCCGACGTCACCTCGCCGACGCCACCTCCCTTCACCGATGCCACCCATTGTTGTGCCTTGCCTCACCGACGTACGCCTCTCTTCGTCGTGCCTCGACCCAATGCCGACCCTTCGTCGCAAACTCTTCGCCGTGGCTTGTGCCGTCTTCCTCCCTTCACCAACCCTTCGCCATCTTCCTCCCTTCACCGACGCATCCTTTCGCCGTTTTTGAGGTATATTTTTCATATTTCACTTTAAATCTTTAATCATGCCATTATTTATTTAAGTATTTTTGCATTAGGTGAATTTTTTTTTCCAAGTGGTAAATATAAATTTAAATTTATTTCAATATATATCCTTGAATTAGTATATATTTGAATTGCTTTTGTGTTTATGTTTAAGTTGAAATGTGACATTGTGATATAGGTTGTGTTTGAAATATAGATTGTTTAATTACTTTTTGTTTGATTCTACATGATCTGAGATGTTATAATATACAAATAACATGTATTGACCGACCTAGATACCCGTTTAAATTTTACTCATTAGGAGTAAATTTTAAATAGCTCCCAGTTTGGAGCTGTTCTTGAAATGCTTCTCTCACTTAGGTAGTGAGTGTATTTCTTTCTCTTTGTTCTGTCATTTTTTGGTTTGACATTTCCTAAATGTGTTCTTCGGGTGCATATGTAATTACGTTACATCATTTGTATTTCATAGTCAGAGGTGAAATTCTTGGATTTATGAAAGACGAACAACTGCAAAAGCATTTGCCAAAGATGTTTTCATTAACCAAGAACGAAAGTTGGGGCACTTGGAGAACCATTGGAAAATGCTGCCAAAATTTTGATAGGTCAAAGAAAATGAAATACATTTACTAGTGAGGGTGGCATTTCAAGAATGGGTTAGGTTGGTGTAAAGAAGGACCATTTGTATAATGAAGAAGTGCTGACGGACCATCATAAGAAATAAAATATTGTATTGCTTGCATTTATTATATGTTTGTGTGTATATATAAAATGAGTATTAATAATTTTTTTGTGCATTGTTTTGCATGTATCAATCATTTGCCCTTTTTTCTTGCTTAGCAATTCATATGATGGATAGAAGTTGGATTCATATGTCGCGTACATCACGTGAGTTTAGTTCTGGTTTGGAAGAGTTAATTCGTTTCGCAGAGAAACATTCAAAAGAAGGAAAAAAGCTATATTCTCCTTGTAACTCATGTCACAACCATTTTATGGTTGATAGCGTTAAAGATATAAGATTACATCTGTATCGCAAGGGTTTTGACCCAACATACCTGCAATGGAAACGGCATGGAGAGTTAGAAAATCTTTGCAGCTCTAGCTATACTCATAATGAACAAGCCGAGGATGATATTCAAGACACCCACAATCTTGAGGTTGAAATGGAAGATGAGTTAGGGGCCACTCAAGATGTTCCTCCTGATCAAGTTGTTATTGATGAAGAGCGTAATATGTATGAGAGCTTAGTAGGAATCTCAAAATGCCCGTTGTATCCCGGTTGTACAAAGTTTACACGTTTGAAGGGGGTTTTGGAATTGTTCAATTTAAAACTAGCAAATGGGTGGAGTGACAAATGTTTCACGTCTTTATTAAGTTTGTTGGGTGAACTTCTTCCAGATGGACACGAATTGCCATCGTCCACTTATGAGGCGAAGGAAATGATGTCTTCAATGGGTTAGGGCTACAAGAAGATACATGCTTGTGTTAATGATTGCATTTTATATCGAAATGAGTTTGAGGATCTCAACGAATGTCCCAAGTGTTTTGCTCCAAGATACAAGGAGTCAACCAAAATGACTCATAACAAGGACAATATGAATAAAACTAAAAAGACTCCGGTTAAGGTTTTGTGGTACCTTCCAATAATACCAAGGTTCCAGCATTTGTTTGCTTCGATAAATGACACTAAGAATCTAGTTTGGCACAAAGAGCAGCGAAAAGATAATGGCACCCTGCATCATCCTGCCGATGCCCTATAGTGGAAGACGATTGACTACACTTTTCCGGAGTTTGGGAACGAGGGGAGAAACCTTCGATTGGGATTGTGTACTGATGGGATCAATCCTTTTAGAAGTTTGAGTACGCAACATAGTACTTGGTCGGTACTGCTTGTCATTTACAATCTTCCTCCTGAGTTGTGCATGAAGCGCAAGTACATCATGCTATCGGTGTTAATACCTGGGCCTAAACAACCAGGTAATGACATTGATGTATTCTTAGCCCCAATGATTGACGAGTTGAAGGAAATGTGGATTCATTTCGTCAAAGTATTTGATGCTTATCGTCAAGACTGTTTCACGTTACGTGCTATGATTCTTTGGACAATCAATGACTACCCAGTATACGGTAACCTATCTGGTTATAAGATTAAGGGAAAATATGCATGTTCGATATGTGAGCAGAATACTTCTAGTGTGTGGCTAAAGAATGAAAAAAACAGTCTTCCTAGGTCATCACCGATTTTTAAGACGTCAACATCCTTACCGTCGCATGAGGAATGCTTTCAATGGTCAAGTAGAAAATGAGGTTGCTCCGAAAGTATTGAGTGGAAAAGAATTGCATGAGAAGTTGAAGAACATAAACCATACATTTGGTAAGACACAGAAAGTTGATCCAAACGGTCCTATTTAGAAGAAAAGATCAATATTTTGGGAACTGCCTTATTGGGAGTGCTTATGTGTCAGACATTGTCTTGATGTGATGCATATAGAAAAAAATACATGTGATAGTCTTATTGGCACCCTCCTAAATGTTCCTGACAAGACTAAATATGGTGTTAATGCCAGAAAAGACTTAATAGAAATGGGCATTCGAACTGAGCTTGTACCGCAAGAAAAAGGACATCGCACATTTCTCCCTCCTGCTTGCTACACACTTTCTAAAGAAGAAAAAATCACTCTTTGTCAATGTCTACGTGATATAAAGGTTCCACGAGGGTATGCTGGAAACATTAAGAGTCGTGTGTCGATGAAGGATTTGAAATTGAACGGTCTTAAATCTCACGATTGCCATGTTTTAATTTAGCATTTCTTGCCAGTGGCAATTAGATCAATATTGCCAACAATTGTGAGGGGGCAATAACTACACTTTGTAGTAAGGTCATTGATGCTGAAACGTTGGATCAGTTACTAGAGGAAGTGGTAGTCACCATATGCGAATTTGAGATGTTCTTTCCTCCATCATTTTTTGATATACCACGAAGCAACTCATATTTCAATGATTTCGCCAAACCCACAAGTAGATGATATAGGAGCAAAATACATTCGCAAAGATCACAAAGAAGGATTATGGATAGATTGGGGAATGAAAAAGTTAAAATAATGCTTTAGGTATTTTTTCTGTTTGTATTGATCATTTTCATGTAATTCATTGTTGTTTCACTTTTATTATACTTATGCTATCTAGATTATTTTGAATTTGTGCACATATGACAGACAAACGGAAGAAGAAAAAGGTTAGAGGTGCAGGGAAGTGCGAGAAGCTGTATTAGAGGAGGAGGGAGGGTCACCCGCCTATAGAGCTTGAGTGGGAGCGTGGGGAGCCTGTACGTGGACCGTATGTTTCAGAGTTTTCTGGGCTTGTAGGGTTTGAGGCCCGATCGAGAGTGCCGATTACTTATAATAGTTGGCATGATGTTCCACAAGACCTGAAGGTCACAGTACTAGACGGGGTTCGGGGTAGGTACCACTTTATTTATCCAAATCTACTAACTTTAATTGTTACATGGTTCTATATATAATAAGTTGTTGCTTCATTTTCTAGTTAGATATATATGTGATACCTCCCGGTGGGGCCCGACATATCATGACGGTTGTAGGGTCGAGACATCACGTTTTCAGGACATATTTACGAGGAGCCTATTTGACGGAAGGTGGTGCTCATTACGGTCAGACTCCCTTTCATCTTTACACCTTCATAGAGCCAGAGCATTGGGAGGAGTTTCGGATCCAGATGGGGACTCCGGAAGCATAGGTAAACCATAATTACCTTCATTGAATGAAATTAACTGACATATTAATTTATTTTAAACAATTGTTTTAGGCTTTGAGCGAGAAGAACAGGGACATACATAAGAAGAATCCCTATCCGCACTATATGGGCCGGGGTGGATATGCCATGCTTCAACGTGAGTTGGCTGCTTCTCAGGCCACCACCTCTGCCGATATCGCTGGTTCGTCTACCGAGACGGGTTCTCAACTAGGATGGGAGGACTCTTGGTTGCGAGGTCACACCCCGGGGAAGCAGGCAGAAGTTACGGACCCTGCACTGATGGAGATTCGTGATAGGATAGTAAGCATATAATCTAGAATTACGTCAATATATTTGTTTATTACTTATTTATTATTTGCTTACAATTTCTTTATTTGTTTGTTTTCTTAACTGTAGGTCCAGCTGAAGAAAGAGGTCGCTACCGGTACCTTTGTTTGGGTGTTAGTTGTAATACGTTTGTTTGAAAACAAAGTATATTTCATAAACTCAATCAAGGCGACCGGAGGGCATAAGAAAATGAAGGTGAAAACTTTCGTCAATGAGTAAGTATTAAATAATTTATTTCTTATTAATGAAATTCTTTATTTGTTAAGATATTAATTTCTTATTAATTTGTTTTTTTACATATATTAAAGGTCTTGGTGGTTACTTCGGGAACGACACATGCGTCAGCTTAAGGCTCGACTGGATTGGGTTGATTTTCCGGGAGTACCCCAACAAGTAGGGAACGTTGAGTGTGGTTATTATACCATGCGATTTTGTTGGCTCATCGTCACTATGTGTGCACAATGTTCTATACCGTTATCCGATGTAAGTTTATTTTAGTGTGTTTTTGAAAGTAATGAAGTGTTTATCATCATTTTCTTTTTCATTGATTACTAAACTTTGTGTTGTATGTTGTTTTCGTATTGCAGGTGTTTCATCAGTCTACTTCGCCTTATACTAGAGCCGAATGAGAAGAGGTTAGAGAGTTTTGGGCAGGGGGTTTTCTCAATGAACTAGTGTAAGTTTTGTATTGTATTGTATAGTATTAGTTGTATGTTAGAAGGGTGTAGTCGTTTGACTCCTAGTTATGGTGTTAAAACTTAGTTTGTAAATATTGATATTCTTTAAGATGTACAAGTAGTGAGTGATGCAAATGTTTACCTTTTTGGTTTAATTTGTTTTGTGGCATTTGGGTTTTGTGAATGTATTTGTGCGTTGTTGGTTTGTGTTAGTTGTTGTGTTGATGGGTTGAATTCTTGTTGTGGTTGAACTTATATATTTTGCACAGAATTCTGTGCAAAATTGAATATGTAGTGAATTGGAAGCAAACAAAATTAACCTTTTAAAAAAATCCTCTTTTGCATCGGTGATTTGGTAATAACCGATGCAAAAGCCTCTTCCCAGAAATGGGAAAGGGGCTTTTGCATCGGTTATTACCAAATAACCGATGTTAAAGCTTCTACCCAGAATTGGCACCAATTCTGGGTAGAAGCTTTTGCATTGGTTTTGACAACCGATGCAAAAGCTTAAGCATTTGCATCGGTTCTTACCAGATAACCGATGCAAACGCTTCTACCCAGAATTGGCGCCAATTCTGGGTAGAAGCTTTTGCATCGGTTTTGACAACCGATGCAAAAAGTTACCTGAGCATTTGCATCGCTGGCTTTTGCATCGGTTAAAAACCAATTTAAAAGGGTCAAAACAACCGATTTAAAAAGTCTATTTTTGTAGTAGTGATGCTTGATCAATTTAGCATGTCTAACTCAAAGAAAGGATCTTTACCTATGACACCTGGCACAGTTCTTTCCAAAAACCAGAGTCCTTCTACTCCCAAGCAGAAGGAACTCATGATGAAGGTTCCATACGTCTCTGCGATTGGATCTATCATGTACGCCATGATATGTACTAGACCTAATGTCTCATTCGCTTTAAGCATGACCAGCAGATACCAGGGAAGTCTAGGAGAAGCACACTGGACGGCAGTCAAGAACATCCTTAAGTATCTTCGCAATACTAAGGATGCATTCCTGGTATACGGCGGTGAGGAAGAGCTAAAGGTGGTCGCTTAAACTGATGCTAGCTTCCAAAGTGACAGAGACGACTCAAAATCACAAGCATGATACTCCCTCCGTCCACCAATGATCTTCTCATTGCGCGTTACGAGGTTTGACCGACTTTATTTTCAATTCAATTTATTTGATTGTAAATATAAAATTTAAAAATAAAATTTATATAGTAAAAAAATACATGAAAAGTTCTACAAAACTAGAGGTGACAACACTATTTTATTTTATGAAATGAGTGGTTAAAATAAGCAAACAAAGTGAGTTAAGTTTGACCCTGTGAATAGTATCTGGGAAGATCTATGGTGGACAGAGGGAGTATATGTTTTGCTTGAATGGCAGAGCTTTTAGCTGGAAGAGCTTCAAGGAAGACACAACACCGATTCGACTATAGAGGTTGAGTACATAGTTGCCGCTGAGGCAGCTAAGGAAGCTGTTTGGATTAAGAAGTTCATCACTGAACTTGGAGTGGTTCCTAGTATTAATGACCCTATCTCGTTGTTTTGCGACAACACTACAGCCATTGCACAGGCAAAAGAACCGCGATCTCACTAGAAATCCAAACATATTGTATGCCGCTATCACATCATACGAGAAATAATAAACAGAGGAGATGTGATGCTCTGCAAAGTAGATACTGACGACAACATAGCCGATCCCTTGACCAAGCCTTCAGGAAAGCTAAAGCATGAGGGTCACACTAGGTCCATGGGCATTCGACCGATGCCAGATTGGGCATAGTGCAAGTGGGAGATTGTTGGAGTTGTGCCCTGATGTCCAACTGTTTATCGTTATTCTATGATGTATAGACATATATAATATGTTTACGCATCTCATGCTAAAGTAAACAAATATTACATTCATAGATTTATATTTAAAGATGTTATAAGTGTAACGCCCCAAAACATACCCTAGAATTATTAATGAATATTTATTCAATTAAACAAATTTGTTTTGATAAATTATTGTTAGGCTTTGGGCCGATATAAAATATGTTTAAATATCCAATATCAAAATCTGGATAAGTCTCATAGAAATAAATCCAATATGTTGGCTATTTGTGTGGTCTTGAATGGGAACCTGAGTACAGACCCAAATCAAGAATAAATGAAGAAATTATTTATAATATGAACTTTAAAATGATTTATTGAAATAAATCATGAGAACAAATGATATGAATTAAATGTGAGAACCTTTTTGAATAAAGGTCAAATAAATCAATTTTGACTCTGTCAAAGTCAAACACTCAAAAATATGATTTCGGAAAAAGTATTTCAAATAAATATAAAAATTATATAGTTGGATAGAATTCGACTGTGTGATCACAAAGGTGCAAACGAATTTCAATTCGGAGAAAGTTGGACCAAAAAGTGTACCCCAACTGGAACAAAAATTGGTCCCAATCAGGGACACTGTAGAGACTGCGCCTCCTCCTCCACTACAAGGATACGCCGATTGGAATGATACAGCAGGCTTGGAAGTTTTTGCCATCTCCTTCGTATATAAGACTATCAAAGCATAACCATTTCTTCACCATTTCTCAAAATATTTCGTCCTATTCTGTTGCTCTGAGTGAGGAGAACGCAGTGGTGTTGTCAATTTGGTGTGAAGTCGTCGGAGTTGAGAGTTATACTCGCCGGAAGTTTCGCTGGAAAATTTCCAAAACCTCCGTTAAGCTTCGAGGTAAGCCCGTAGATATATCTAATGACTAGAATGTTCACATAGATCGTTTCTACGTTCATAAATGGTCATTTAGTTGAGGTTTTGTATTTGACATGCTTGAAGAAGTAAGAATCAAAAACCATGATTTTGATGTTAAAACTATGAATTAATTATGCCAAAATGATCTATGAACCTTGGAGAATATTTTTATATACTTTAATTGAAGTTTGGGGAGTAAAAATTACATTTCCGCAAGTTGACTTGAGGTAGAAGACGATGAATAGTCGACTATCAACTTAAAAATCAACTATAGCTCGTTCTGCAGATTTTTGGAACTTAGCTGAGCAACAGTCGACTGTTAGAATGTGACAATCGACTGTTAGCCCTCTCTGAAGTTTGATAATCGATTATCAGAGTGTGATAATCGATTATCAGCCCATTCTGAACATCAGACATTAGATTATCAGAAGTAACAGTAGACTGTCTCCCTACACTATTGAAAAAAATGAAGCTAATAGCTAATAATTAAATTTCCTATCATATATTAATCAACTATTGTTTAGAAAACATGATTTCTGAACTATGGAATCTTATTTTTGATACTAATGAATTATGATTAATGTAAAGATGATTTGTTGGAATATAAATGAAGTTTTGACAACTAAAAGAATCTTATTTGATGCATGACGGTAAGCTAGGGTGTTAACACTCGACGCTAGGCCGCTATTTGTTAATAAATGTTACTATGACTATTATGATCAAACTTGATAATATTCTGAATAAATGATTATTATAATAGATAATGGATTATCATTGATAATAATACTGATTATGATTATCAAATGGACGACCCGAGTGATTATGACTACATAACGATCATGATTTTATTCTAACAAAATAATAGTGTATGGAATTAAACGAATGAACCGTATAGATGAAATTATGAATAGATATGTTTGTTTGACTATCTTGAATTAAATTATGATTATGAATTATTGAAACATAATTCAAAATGAATATATTGCTAAACAAGAAAATGATGTGTATTGTTAAGGATATCTAGAAGAACTTTAAATATACCCATTAGCTAATTAATGTTAAGACTATCTAGAAGACCTCTAGAATAGATCTTTGAATGAACTTATGAAAACATGAATAGTCGATGAATTAGATATAAATGCATAAACGGGATTCGTAGACCAAACTAGTGGATTACTCGTTGGGAATGCATGATCCAATGTTGACCAATCGCTATATTGTTGTTGCCTTAACTGACTACAGTTAAGTGTCCGAAATCATTTGCCTTAAACTAATGATAGTTTAACTGTCTGATTGCCTTAACTGACTACAGCTAAGTCTCCGAAATCATTTGTCTTAAACTAATGATAGTTTAAGTGTCTGATTAATAATTGTCTTACTAAGAATAGCTAAGAGCATTGTTATGATCTGGCATTAGACTAAGAATAGCTAAGAGCATTGTTATGATTTCGCCTTAGACTAAGAATAGCTAAGATCATTGTTATTATTTGGCCTTAGATTAAGAATAATTTAAAGGCACTATTGGAATAATATCTGAATTGGATAAAATGTGTTGATATGAACTGAATAATATCAAAACTGTGAATGTCTGAATGAACATTGTGTGCATGATATCAAATGATTTGATTATGAATTTAGATTCAGTTTATATGGATGTTCGATGCATTAGATATGCTTACTCAGCTTTACCGCTGAGCGTGTAGTGTGTTTTATTTGCTACACTTAGGTAAACAGAAAGAACAATGTGATCCTGGTGGCAGATGAGCGAGATTGTCGGGATGGATGTGACAAGTTTGAAATGATTTATGATATGTCAATATTAAATTTGCTTTCGCAATATTGTTGAATACTCCGTACTGTATATGTTAAGAAAAATATTATTGGGATTAATAAAGTGTGCTTGAAAAGTTTTAAATTTTTACGATTACCAAGTTAAATACTTTAGTCCGAATAGGGCTGCAGACCTGGACGAATTAGGGTGTTACAATAAGATAGTGTTTTTATGCTGATGAGACTAACATCTTGAAATAAATTCTTATTTGAATGTCCATAGTCGAGTATTAACGAGAGTGGGATATTGTTAATTCATGTGAGACTAGTGTGTGATGGATGTTTGACTTAGTCTCATAGTCAATGACGGTGTGTTCGCATCCGCACATGGGAAGATATTATCTGGAGATAATAGGATGCCGAACTGACCCATCCTAAAGATGTTGCTTGAACTTTTAGTTCATGCTCTAAGCATCTTTAGCGCGACCACTGATGTAACTATCCTTCGACTTGAAGTATTACATTTTCTGCATATGTGAACTTACATTCTTTGATGCATTGTCCTAAACCATATGAAATAAGAATGGTATACAGGCTTTGTTTTGGGTATGCCGCAGTGCGCATTCAGAAACGTAGATTACATACATAGGATTTGTGACTACTCTTTTAAGAGATTAATGCCTTATGGGGCCCACTGATAAGTTATGACTGAGGAAATTGCATGGTCATGCTGAGATGTTTTTATCAGTCAGACTTGATAAATAAGTGAATGACTTAATAGATACAAGCTGGATTTTATTAATCTCTTGCATTAAGTCTAGACATTGAGACAAAGGGCTGAGTTGTGGAAATCATTTGACTGTGCAAACGTCTTAACTTATAATCTGGGGGCAATAATGTGTTGCTAAATACTGCTTATTGCTTATAGTATTAGTGCAGAGCCAATTTTATGGCCAGCTTTATAAGTGCTTATATGGGTCACACACTTTGGATAATTTAAGGAGTAGGATTAAATAATGGGAAAATAAATAATTTGTATATTTGTAAAAAATAGTAAAATAAAATATTTTGGAATATGATATTATATATATGTAAAACATTCGGTAATATATTTATATATATAAATACCGATATATATATATATATATATATATATATATATATATATATATTATGTTGAATATTTTATTTTGGTTTGTCATTTTAATTATGAAAATAATTATTTTGATACAAACTACTTGAAGTATATTTTATACTTGTTTAAAAATGATATTGGTATTTTTTATTTGATTTAAAAATAATTTTATATTAATTTTTGGTGTCAAATAAAATACACTTTGAACATTTAAGTGGAGAAGAATTTTGAAAACCCTCTCACTTTCTCAAATCACAATTGCGGCCATGATAAGATTTTAAAGGACCAAATTTTATTTGATTGATTCTTTAAGTGGGCTAATTGCTTTTTCATTTAGCTAATGACCAAAAGTTAATTTAACATCTTTTGTTATATTTAAATATAACAGTCCATTAGCCAATTTGATTTTGTTTTGGTGAAGGGGATTTTCGGCCATTACAACTTTAGAGAGAGAAAATAATATTTTGTGTTCCATCAATATCATTTTGTGTATAGAAAATATCTATAATATTTTCTAAATATTATTAGAAATATTTTTTTCTAGAAATATACAAGATTATTATTTTCCCAATTTTAATCTTTATACATTATACTACTATAATATTTACTAGAATAAAGATTGTGGTAGACTAGGGCATTGTTCGTGTGTCAAAGTTGGAGACCGGACGCTTGAACAGTTACGTTTGAACTTTCAACGCTCTTCCTACGACTTCTTTGTTTTTACCGTTTCCGGAGAAAGGTATAGATTTCTTACTTGCTATAAGTTTTAGTACGTGATTTTTAGGCGAGATAATCATGTTAGGATGTTAGAATTTTTATATTTCGCGTCCCATCCTTGTATGTGGATATCTAACGTTAGGTTTTTTGTATAAGTTTGAAATTCATGTTCGTAATCTCGTATGACTGATTATGTGACCTTTTTGTTTATAATTTGAATGATGATTTAGTAAAAATATATGATGTCATTGGAATCGATTGATCGAGGAAGGCTAGGTATGTTCTCTTACACTAATTTGTAGGGTTTTTGTGTCAATAACCTTTAAAAACATTATACGTATTGAATGGTTTGGACTTGGACTAAACTATGCTATTTGGGTGATTTCTCAACGTCAGATGGTAGCTAGGTACCGCTTAGCGGTACCCTGCTACCACCACAGAGGGAATTTCTCTACCAGTAAGTGCGCCTGGACAGTAAGGGGTGCTGGACCGACGGTAGCAAGGTACCGCCTCGCAGTACCAAGGTACCCTAAACAATACCAGACCAGTAGTTGTATGCCATTTTTCTTATTTGTTTGTCCTTATTCAAATCTTGGATTGATTTCGAGGTCTTCTGTGTTGCATGACGGTGAGTGGAAGGTGTTTACCCCCGACACTAGGCCGCTAATTGTTTAGTATCTATGTTTATGAGCTTTACTATGTTTTTGTAAGAATCTGGGAATATTCAAGTATGAACTTGAACACAGGTAGACTGAGAAAAAAATAGGAATACATTTAGGAATTATTGGTCATGTGAAGAGCCGGCGTGCACGCATGATCAATTGGGTAAAGCTGCGCACAGGGGTCGTTGATCTATTCATGGATGTGACTAGGTGGTACCACCTAGGCAATGTTGGATGACGTCTTATTGAGTTGGTTCTTCCATGGATGTGGTTGAATCGGGACTCTAGGAATAAGAAAGAATTAGCTTTAGCCTAGGATAAGTTATGAGCTTAAAACTAAGGAGGATTGATGAAGGACCAATTTAGTGACAAACCAATCCGCTGGTCTATGTATCCAGATCACGCGGGTCGGGGTGTTACAAGAATAAAGAAACGTCGAGGATGGCTACTAGTGAAAATCCCTTTGTCCATATGCAAGGCAAGGCTACTAAGTGAGGTGAAGATTACAACATTCCGGAAGGCGTGATACAACGAGGAAGAGAACAATAAAAATGGCGTGACCTAGTTAAATATGGTAGAAGAAAGAAGGGTTATGGCCGAAGCGAAAATGGTTGAATACCAGCAGACTCTGAAAACCTACCATGACAACAAGGTGGAGCCTCACTATTTCCATGTAGGCGATCAAGTCTTTAGGCGCAGGGAAGTAAGAAAATTTAGGGATAGATGAAAATTTGCAAAGAAGTGGAAGGGACCATACAAAGTGACTACAAACATCCATCTAAAAATGTATAAGCTCAAGACCATGTAGAGGAAAGAGGTCGAAAGATGTTTGGATTAACATCACTTAAAGAAATTCTATGCTTGAGTATTTTAGGGGTCAGGCTATACATGTGTAATTGCAATCATCTCAACAAATGCATGAAAATGTTTTACCAATCGAAATTCTGGGATAGGTCACCACAGAGACTCGAGACATCGATTGAATTAGTGAAACTAGAAGTCATACAAAAATTGTTAAGGAAAAAATGAAACCCTTGAGATAGGGGTCTTGATATTTGGGTTATTGCCTTGAGATAGGTTAGACCAAGAAGGAAGTTCACATCCGTACTATACGTGGATCCTTATCTGTCCTCGGACCAAGAAGGAAATAAAAGATGCCAAAAAATGTTACCATCTCATGAGATCATTGCTTTTGGATTGAAAGTCCTCATTCTAGGAAAAATTGAGACTTCCAAACACATAGTACATGACCATGTAGATAGGAAGCGAGACGGTTCTCAGTGTCATACTATCATACCCCCACGAGGGAGGACTAGATCGGCTTGGTCGGTCTAGTAATATAAATAAGGCATAATAAAATACCTAAACCTGGAAGAGGGGCCCTAGAAGAAGGATGATTCCTGGAAGAGGGCTAGACCTTAGAGAGGGTTCACGATCATAGTGCATGATCTAAATTCTCAAATACTAGCTAGGCCATGATGTTGAGAATTGGATTAATATTACCCAAGTAAAATTGGATGCCCTGTAACACCCCAACTCGAATAACCCAATTACATAGATTATTTGAGCCGAAGTAGTTACCATGATGGTAAATACGCATAACAATTTGAGGAATAATTTAAAACCAATTTAAACTTTAATATAAATGATAATTTCAAATATTAAATTCAGAGTATTGCTGAAACAATGCGGAAGCTTAAGTATAAAACATAATCAAATTGTTTTACATTTTTCTGGGTTCTCACCCGAAAAGGTATTTATTTAATTAAAACATCATAAATGTGGTCCACCAGTCCGTACATCTCGTCACTCTCATTGACCTCCGGGATGGGCTCCATGATCAGTATTGTTACCTGCGTGTAGCAAGTAAAACAAACTACACGCTCAGCGTCAGCTGAGGAATATGCTAATACAACAATTCCAAGTTGAATAGCATGTAGACATATAATTATCATGATATGACATAATATAGCATGTATGCTCAAATGATGATTGTGATACGTAATAAATGTCATACATAGTCACAATGATTGCATTTGCTTGATGATGAATTCATGCTGTATGATTCTAGGTCACAAGGACAAGCCTTGAACTATGAGATTCGTCCATTTTGTACGACGAACTCACGCTAAAATAGGGGTGGTACTCGAAAGCCTAAGTACCATGTACGTACACTAAGCCCGGTCCGTGATGTCGGACTGCTAAGTCCTGCACAATCACAACTACAAGAGACGCACTTCCGCCTGATCTCTTGCGCATGCACATGATGTGATATGTTTCAATATGGATGATGAAATGAATCACATGATATGAACAATTTGTAAACAACATGATTGGATAAATATACTTTATTTTATTTGGATGAAATCT